TTGTGTATGAATAGAACTAAACACTTACATTCTTATATATTCAATCTATCGTTTGTACATTCGTCACCGGCGATAAGAAATAGGACGCAAACTTCGTCTATCTTTCTTTCTTAACGTCGTTGACCGTTCATATCTAAAGTATGAGAAAGAATTCATTTTTAAAGCCTACACAATTAATTTTTTGTTATTTGTTTTCTTTCTTTTTTCTTTTCCTTGCTTGTTTTATGATTTAAATGCACGCGTAAATAAGTCAAGACGACAACAAAAGATAAGAAGATCATTGAATCATCGCACAACAGAAGAAAATGAATATTTTTTTCTTTGCTACATTCATTCTCTACTACAGACAAAATGGATAATATTTGATTAACAAACACACGCTAAGAGACAATGAAACGAAAAAAAAAAAACACGAAACGAAAAAAAAAACACCGTGAATTGATATATCTGAAGCATGCTGTTAGATTAAATGATAGAGACCAGATAAACCCATAAGATAATATAAATTATGACGCAATAAGAATAATGACATAAAAAAAAAAAAACCAAACAACTGTTTGATACACAACACAACATCGATTATTAATGTATTTGTTCGTCTTTGGCGATTAATTAATTTAGGAAAACGATCTTTTACCAAAGTGGACCATTTGATCGACCACCTGGTGGATGAACAACACGAACACTTGTATGCGGATCCTATTAAGAAAAAAATAAAATAAAATGTTATAAACAATTAAATTTATCTTTTATCAATTTATATATAATTTTTATTACTTCAAAAGTTAGAAAAAGTCAATGAAATACAAAAATTGTTCTCAGGACACAAAATTGTCTACATTATTTAATATTTCAGACGGGTAAACGGTGTAGAAATCATCATCGAACATTATCATTTTTCATTGACGATAGTCATCAGTGGGAAAATCAAAAGGGCCGGTGCAAGATAATTCTAATCTCGACGAAACGGGGGGACCAACATTTTTTCATAGAGAATGATATCTTTTATAATCAAATAAAACTTGAGCCAAATGTCATATTCTCACAAGTTATGTATTCTAGAAATTTATGCGTGTAATGATTACATCAATATTGACTCAAATATCATTATCATAGTAAAATTAATCCTTTTTCTCATAGACAACAGAATTATCGAACATAACGAGTTGACATTTCCAAAAGAGAAAATCTTAATAAAACACTGTACTAATATTAAAAAAAAATTTTATGTTGTTTGTCTTACTTTTATGGTAGTATGTCCATTGGTACCATTAGAATGACCATTGGTTTGTTTATCGTTTGATCCTTCAGTATTACCATTTTCGGTAACATCAGTATTTCCATTTTCTACTTGTTCGCCATTGTTTTCTTCAGGTATTTTACTTGTATCATCAGATTCTTTTTCATTTTCTGTCGTTCCTGTTTGTTCAACTTTTGAATTTAAACCATCTTTAATTGAATAAGGTTCACCATTTATTGGATTATAACCCACTATAAAATAAATCAAACAATTCAAAATACGATAATATAAGAGTAAGAAAGAAAAAAAATACGAAGCACATTCTGAAGCAAAAGTTCAGTAAAGCATTAAATTATAAAAATGTTTTTTGTAAATATTAATTATCAAAGTTCAAGATAAAAAGAAAAAAAACGGAAGTTAATTATTCCTTTTTAATTTCATATCTCATTTCACTATATGTATATATTGTTATATCTCAAAAGCAGGTGACAAATGGGTAACAATACACAACAAAGCAATAGGCATTTACACGAATACGATTGAAGCTTGACGAATGATAAACGTCTAAATAAAAGGATCATGCATTGAAATTCGACATTGATTCTTTTTTTTAGAATATAAAGAAAAACAAAACAAAACAAATAAGTTATTTCATTTAGTAAGTGATACACACTGTTCTAGTGTTGAATGTTGAAAATACACTAACACAAAAGGTAAAAAGAAAATACCAACAGGACCTATCTCTGTCTATATTCTTATAAATTCACAAAAAGCGATAAGCACGCACTATAAAAGAGAAAAGTTAGAAATGAAAATGAAATCTCGTTTTTTTTTTGTTTTCATGAATTCTTTTCTTTTTCTTTTTTTAGTTCAAAATTAAAAAAAAACATGTATAACACAAAAAAATATAATTAGCAGACTCACTGCGTGATGCATTTGGATCTAAATAAAATTTATATAATATACAAAAATAAAATGCAGAATAGAAACATAATGCATATGAATTAATTTTTTGCTATTGTTATTTATAAATGCTACCTTTTAATCTCAATGGTGAATAAAGACTTATGGCAATAGATGGTCGATAACTATCTTGATAATTATTTGTTTGTTGTAACCTACCTCGTAGACCTTGTCGTGTACCTGGTTGACGTTTATTTTGTATATCATAATCATTATTACCAAATATACTTGATTTATATTTTTCCGAAACTGGACGTGTTGTTGTTGTTGTTGATTGTACAGGTTCATCTGTAGCAAATATATTTGATCGTTGACGATCAGGTTTATTTGATGGTTGTTGAGGTGGTGCTTCATCAAATATAGTTGATTTATTTTTCTCAGAATAGATATTCGATTTTTGAATTGGTTGTTCAGGTTGATTTCCAAAAATATTATTTGTTATATTACGTGTTTGTCTATTTAATTAAAATAGATGAAATTTTGTATAGATTTAATTTATTTTTCACTTTACTTAACAGGTACGAAATCAGTATTATCCTTTTTACAACCAAATATATCTGATTCCATATGATTTTTTTTTGTTGGCATAGGTGCTTCAGGTTCAGGTATACCAAATATATTAGTACTACGACCACCTGGTGGTGCATGGACACTAAAGAAAATATTTAATAGAAAAATTAATTTTTGAAATAAAAATTATCTACCGAATTGATGGTTGATCTTTAGAAAAATTCGACATTATGAAGAAGAATCTGTTGTAGGCCTGAAGAAATGATCTGTAAAGAAAAAAGAAAAAGAAAAGTTTAATGAATCACATGGATTATATTTCCGTTCTATTTTCTTAGTTCTCTAGGGACTGTCGTTATAAATAATATCTATTTCATATGAAACAATATACACGCAAAGGTAATTGAGAAAAAAAAAATATTGAATGATTAAATTTATAGGTGTTGATAGAGAAGCTCGAAGAAGATAACGAACTGATTATTTGACATAGAGAAAAAAACAATAGATTAACCATAGCCATAATAGAGACAATTGAACCTTCTTAATTAGTATAAACAGTTATCTTTTACTATAAAATATAAATTAAAAATAAATAATACAAGATAAGAAAAAGAAAGATGTTCACGAACGATTTAGATTCAAAAAAAAATCTTAGAGTTTTAATCTTAAAATAATCGAAATAACTAATAGAAATAAAATAGATGTCGCACATAGTAGAATCCGTTGAACTATAGTTAATTAGCCAGAGAAGTAACAGATGTTTTACCATTCATCGGTCAATAGGACGTTTAAAAAGGACACTCGGTCATGTTAAATGGATCAAAAAATTCTTTCGTTCTTTCTGACTGACTACAGTAGTGGGAGGTAGCTTGCACCAACATGAAAAACAGACAACGTTTTTTTAATTATTCCACAAACTATTTGATTACTATAGACGAGAGCTGACCTTTTTTTCAATCATATGTCTTTTATTTTATGATGCTGTGTAATAACAGTAGCCGCTATTCACTACTTTGATCAGTTATTTACTATTCTATCTGATCCTAGTTTTTATTCAAGAAGAAAATTAGACTCTTTTATATTCATTATATTTTTAGAAGAAGATAATTGTAGCACAAAAAAGAAACTAGATTCGATTATGATCAGACTATATATATATGTCACGAAGAGGCATTTTCCTATAGAATAAATATAATGTTTGAAAGAAAGTCTTTTCAAATATAATTAGCTGGATATTCTTTTTGAAAGATGTCTATATTGAAGAATTACGATGTATATATTGGATATTCAAATGTTACAGTAGCAATTGCATTTTTATAATTATAAATTTCATCAACTATTCATGTGTTCTAAAGACATTCTCAATCAATCAAAAGTTTTTACTGTTGATAAAACAATCGTAATATACTCCTACGAAATATATACATATATATATTCATTAAAAGCAGGCATCAGATATTATGATTGATCACAAATATCTAACATATAGAAGATGATGAAAAAAACAAAGAATTCATTATAGATCAGTATATTTATATATTTTATTTATATATAAATACATGTTGTACAAATTTCTCTTCAAAATACAAATCAATATTTATATTATGCATTACATCATCACCGTCTGTACAAATAAGTTGCAATAAAAATAACAAAAACTCGTCGATTGTCTCTATCGCTTCATATTATTTCTCTCGATGACAATGTTTGATAGACATCTGACAGAGCTTAAATCAAACACATACGGTCATAAACAACTGTATAGTAATAAATGCGATGATATACATAGTTCAGTATAACGATCATATAACGGAGAAATACGATAATTTACGGAGAAAAAAAAATAAATACTCATTTACTCTCGTCCTATACGGAAGCTGCATATACATATGGTCTCCGCATTCTCCGTATATAATCATAAAGATATATGATCGTTATATTGAGCCATTTGAAATGGTAAAATACGGTGGTTGACAAGCATAAATGATCTTCGTATTTGTTCATTGGAGAGATTTCTATTTGAAAAAAATAAGATTTATTTCTCTTTTGCTTAGACAATAGAACATTGATTTTGACATGTACCAAGAAATAAATACAGATTGATAGAATTCACAAGTTATTAATCATTCTTTCTCTTTATACACATCTGATTATACAGCTTGTCTTTTTCACAAGATACTTAACATTGATGAGAAAAATAAAAATTTTCAACGCACAATACGAAAATCACAACAGTAATAATAATAATCACATATACAAACAATAGAAAACATCAAATTTTATAATTGTTTTAGTTTTTGAAATTTTTATCAGTATTATCTAATATAATATTTGTTTTTTCAATTATTTCGGATGTATTATTACCCATTGGACGAAACATTAATGTATCATTACGTTTTGTATCCATATAAACCTAATAAATATTAAATATACAAAATTAAATTCATAAAAAAAAAACAAAGCAATTCTTTTTTTACTTTATTCAATGCAATTAATAGTTCATCCATTTTATCAGGAAATGATGTTATAGGATCATGATAATGAACACGAGTACCATCAAATGGATTCAAATGAAGACGATCGATTCCTTTGGGTCTACCAATACCTAAAGTTAATTTAAAAAACAAACGAAAGAAATAAAATCATACAATTTAACAATGAATATCTTTACCTGTCCATTTCTTCATTTGATTAACCATAAAATCAACAATTTCATGTTCACTGTTTTGTAATGAAATATTATGTCGAACAACTCGAAATGAATCCGCTATAATCGAAATAAACTAAAATAAAGGAAAAAAAAACAAGAAGAATTTCATTTTCAATTCGTAATATTTTAAATTAACTTTAGTTTAGGTTTTTGAAAATTCTAAACCTATTTCATTTATATTATATACATACCATATTCATACAAATAAAAACTACAAATACTATGAATAATGTAAAACAAAATGGTCCAAGAAATATATCAGCCGCATATAAATCCGAAACATCAAATTTTAATAACATCATTTCAAATAACATTTGTGCTGTACTTAAAGGATTTGAACATTCCAAAATTTTTGAATGAAATAAAAGAAAAAATAATGTCAAATAACCGAAATAAATAATTGAAAACATGAAAGAAAATGATATTAAATCTTTAGCTGCATACATTAATGTTGATGATAACATTGATATACGTTGATTAAATCTTAATAGACGTAGAAATTTAACTGTACCAAAAAAACAACAAAAACCTAATAAAAATGTTAATAGATCATTAACATATGATGCTAATTGTAAATTAACATATGCATAACCATTTGTTTCTTTAAATAAATCACTAATACGATTACCTTCACGAATACGCCATAAATATATAAATAGACCAGCCCATGAACATGCTATTATACCAATTTCTGGATATGACCAAAAATCATGAAAATATTTCATACGATGATTGAATAGTGAACGAATTTCACGTTGCATATAATAAATTATAAATATCATATAAAGAATTCCACAAATTAATTTAAATAAAGCAAAACCTAAATAAAAATAGAAAAATTTTTACTGTTATAGTCCTCTTTTTTCTGTTATTCATAATCATTCATACCTTGAAAATTATTCAATAATGATATTGGTTCAACACGTGCTGACGGATAAATACCACCTGTTGGTAAAAATTCCGCAATAATAGTAACAAATATAAATAAATTTACATTCGGATTATATAAACTCATTTGTATAATAACTGCTCGTGTTTGCATATCAATCCATGATAATTGTTGTAATAATGATATATTTGATATCATATCATGCATTTTTCCACGAAATTCATATACATAACCACCTCCATTATATGTTGCATGTTCACCAACATATGTATATGTATCAAGAGATTGACTTTTATTATACATAAATGCTTTTCTTATTGATAATGAATAATTTCCAATATAACCAATAGTTGAATTATAAACTGATGTCCAACCAGGATTAAATGAACGTTGATCTTCATTCAAAGTACTATATCCTGCTTCACATGATGAACTTATATTTTGAAATGATGAGACAATTGTACATGAATCTAAAATAAATTTAATTGAAAAATATTGAAATATGAAAAAAGAAAAGAAAATGAATTTAAATATTTACTAGGTTTTACACGTAATTGACGCATTGTTGCCCAACCGAGAATACGATTTGTTTTATCATTAATATAACCTAAAAGAAATAAAGAAAATATTAATCATATAATATCAATTATGTATTTACCTGTTAGATTAGTTGGTGGTGCATCATTATACCATTTAGAAGCTCGAATATGTGGTACGAATGATGTTCTTAACCAGTCCCAATATTGATTGAAATGATAAATCTTAAATGCAAGAAACATATAAATAGTTACAAATTGAATGAGAAAAATTTTGTTAACTAGATTGTTCTGAAATGTTTGTTTTTTTTTCATAGTCAGAAATCATTTTAATTTACAATTGTTTACTTAGATAAATGATTTACGAGTAAACGGTATGATACAACAATTAAATTTACTTAAAATTCAATATATCAACAAAGAAAAAAAAAAGCATTTTTTTCTGCTGATACTTTCAAGATACTCTATGGATTATTAAATCGATCTATGGACATGAGCTCTTTTAGATTTTTGATAACACTAATGTGTCCAACCATGGATCACAGAGATTGAAAACGAACTGAACTCAAATCAGTAAAGTTTGGTTTGATTCAGCCTACACTGCCCATTGGTCAATTGCTCACAGATAAAAAAGATTCTTTGTCAATTCCACTGTTTGCTAGTCTCACCAAGACACTATTGTAGTCTTAATATGAGCTTAAATGCTGAATAATACTTTCGAATGATTCCTTTGTCAACAAAGAAAATCATTAATATTATAATATTGCTCTCACTTTCCAATTCAAGTGCTAATTTCAATGAAGTATCATCTACTGAATCTTGAAATAATTTTTTTTTCAAAATATATGTACCTGTGTAAAATCATTTGTTGCACTATTTAAATCAAGTAAATCTTGTTTTAAATGTTTGACAATAAAATATGCATTAGGATCACGATTTGAATAACTAACAACATAAAGTATCCATAAAAATGATGAATATGCTAATAATTCTCTTATAATGTCCCACATTTTAATTTCATTTAAACGTTTATTACGTGCATCAATTAATTCACCTTCTGTTAATGGTATATGTCCAGATTTTGATCGAAATGTTAATAAAGATCTATCATCAAATGCATGTAAATATTCTTCATCACCATCAAGAAATATATCATCATTATCATCATCAATTATATCATCATTATCACGACGAAAAAATAATGTAAAAAATATTGCCATAAATATAACCTGAAAGAAAATTTAAAAACAAAATAATAATCCAAAGTAATAATAATTATTTATTACTTTAATTGGTTGTGTTAAAAGCACTGATGAAAAAAAACCAGTTATAGATGATGTTAGCCATTTACGTGTTTTTAAATCACCAAATTCAATACCACGTGCAATAATAAATAATGTTGATATACTAACAACAATAAATGATAAACCATAAGCAATAAATATAAACCACCATGGTAATGTTAGTTTTTTATTTTTCTTCTTTATTTTTGATTCTTGTTGAATTGTTTTATATGAAATTTGTTTATCAGGTAATGGTGATATTAATGTATTTCGCATTATATCAAGATCATTTCTTGATAGAATTGGATCTGGATTAACAATGTAACTAAATGTATAAGAAGAGATAACAAAAAAAATAGATTAATTAAATTAACCATGTTGATTTTGCTTACTTAGTTAATTGTGGATGTATATCACTAAGTGCAGCTTGTTTTTGTTTTTCTTCATGTTCATATTGCATTCGTCGAAGTGCTTCACGTACGGGTGATGCGGGACGACGACGAAGACGTAAACGACGAAACATTTCAACTAAAATTGTACTTGGTAAAAAACAAATTAATTCAGCAATAACACCAATTGCAATCTAAATATAGAAAGAAAGAAAAAACAATAGAGAATTTATTTCTCATTCGAATAATTGATATTAATAAAAAAATTAACCTGTTCTGGTGTGATATAAAATGGCCCCATATTAATGCCATTAACTGTTTTAGATTTTGCTATTTCACTTTGATCATAATACATTATATTCATAAGCCTAAATGAAAATATGAGAATATTTGTAATAATTAATGAATAAGTTAGATATGTATCATTTTATAAGATAAGACATCATTTAAATTTGTCCCACTTATCATTCAATAGCCATTTTAGTGTTTGAGCAAGATAGTTTACTGGTAATGTCTATTAAAACTCTCTATAAAACTGTAATTAATACTATAACGAATTTCGTAGACAATGAATTATCGTAGAATTCTCGGACTATTAAATATAATCTTCTATTTCCGATATCATATCAACCAATCGAACTGAAGTTTCATTGACGTTATATCCAGAGAGTAACTGCCACGATAAAATAATGAATCGCTCAAAAAACAACTCAAGTTACAAATGTAATTGAAAATCAATTTCTGAAGTCGACGATTAATATAAAAAACAATTAGACACTCCTTGTTTTCGAGAAATATGTTTTTCTTTCATTTACTGATTAACTAGTGGTCACTATTTTTGGAAAATGAGTCTAATAGGAGCTTACACAAGATAATAATACAGATTTTTCCGAAAATCAACTTTAAATTTATTTGACGAAACGTAGAAATCTCGGTTCAGTCCGAAATTCCTCTCATTAATTCTCATAAAAAGCCTTATCTTTATGAATACTTGATAAGCTCCTTAGTACTTAGCGGTATAGATTTTCATTGAAAAGTACTTATCAGCAGCACGCATATAGATCAAACTACAGTTCTCGGGTTTCGTTCAGCAAGAGAGTGTTGAAAAATTGGCAACATTTATAAAGAAATACTCGTCAGTGAAAATTGGATGAGAGGAACATTATTTCGTAGTCCAATTGAGCCCTTCGTTTTTACATTAACATTTAATGTATATAAGTAATAATTGTCTCAAAAA